TTTTTTAAATCTTCCATTTTGGGCTCTATTGACATGATTTCTTCTTTGTTTTCATTTTTTTAACCAGTCAGAAGGCATATGCTACTGTACTGCAGATTAGGCGTTTCACGATGGCGGCTATCATCACGTTAACAGTTATCAATACAGAGTACTCCAGCAGATATATGTCAAAACTAGACATGTTCAAAATATAAATACAAGCGAATTTCATGCATAAGCTGTCTGAAATACGAAGGCAGTTACATAAGATGAAGACAATAAAAAAGACAAAAAGAAGTTGATCTCTATCCATTATTTATTCTTTCAACAACTTCGAAATCAAATGAAACAAATCCAGGAAAATACCGCTGGTGTGGCATTTCAGCTAGCCGACCCGCTAACAACAACAGCCCCCTGGCGCGCGTATCCAGCTGGCCACCGAATTTTACCGGCCCCACTGGGCCCCACACTGCCACAGTACCGGCAAAGGCACCCTGCAGGGCCTGGCACGCTGGTTAGTGTTACTGGGGGGCGGGTTGTTGCTGTTAGCACGCCTGACGGTTAACCCTGGGTGCCCCAGAGTCCGGCGTTTATTAGGCGATAGATTTCGGGAGAAACCGTATTTGTCCGCTACCATTAGCCACCCAAACCTTCGTCCACGCGAAGCCCTCTAACGCCTCATGCGCGAGGAGATAATTAGACCCAGTGTTCCAAGTAGGTCTGCCGGGAGTTATAATGGCTTCCCATGACTTTTACTTAGGAGATATAATAGACACTCGCGCGCGGGGTGGCACCCAGGCCTGGTGGCACCCAGGCTAGCCCGACGGGTACCCGCCGGTGGACCGATGTGTCATTCCCGCGGCGCCGGCTGTAACAGGCCTGGGCTGTAATGGCTAGCGCTTTAATACTGTCGCCCCGACTAGCCTCTACCAGGCACCGTGGATCGCTGGAAAAATAATAGAAAATGGCCGAAATAAAGGGAATATATACCAAGGGAGTTAGCCGGCCAGAGAAGCTCCAATTGGCGACCTTGGTATATATTCCCTTTATTTTGGCCAATTTCTACTATTTTTCCAGCGATCCGCGGTGCCTGGTAGAGGCTAGTCGGGGCGACAGGCACCCACTGCCGCCGCATTGCTTACGGGAGGCCAGGCGCGCGCTACCGAGCGGGGGATCAATGTATGCACGACGATCTGCAGGGGCCGCAGCGCAGGATCGTAAAAAATGGCTTAATAGCATACATAATAACACCTACATAAGACCTACACGAACCAACGCCCACCCCAAAATTTCCAGTATGAAATAAAAATACCAAAATCTTATCGATCCTGTCAATAGTAGAATAATTTGCACTGCTGACAGGAAAAATCCTGTCAACAGTGCAAATTATTCTGCTATTGACAGGACGATCCTGTCAGCAGTGCAGTATTTTCTGCTATTGACAGGACGATCCTGTCAGCAGTGCAATATTTTCTGCTATTGACAGGACGATCCTGTCAGCAGTGCAATATTTTCTGCTATTGACAGGACGATCCTGTCAATAGCCACAGGCTTGAAAAAATATAACAAGTTAACGTTGTAACTTTCCCATGAAGTGGACAACACATTATATTTGATGTGCTTGTGTATGTACTGGCTGTCTGTTTCTTAAACTGTCTATATCGACTTTATGGTAAAATTTTAATTATGAAAGATGCAAGGTTGAAAGGTAATGATTTCAACAAAATTAAACTGATCAGAAACCTTGTTGACATGCATGAAAATATAAATGCTATTAAAAAGTTGAAATTTATTTTATAAAACAATGACTGTCTACTGCAAACTTCCAACATGTATGGAAAACTAAGGGCTAATGCAGACACCTATGGTTCACCATAGTGTTGGGTTACATTATTTAGCAATGGCAGGACAGAGTTGAAGGGATGGTCACCATATAACATTATATGAAATGTTTCAGTAAGTATACACAGAGCAGAAATTAACGTCATAGTTATCCAGAAAAGTAACCGGGAAAGAGCCTAATGTCAACAGTTCTTATAGATGTAAAAAGTATATGCAATTCAGACTATGGCTGCGATGTACTTTTCATACCCAATCAAAATGATCAAATAAACCATTCATTCATTTGTTCAAGTTTGTTATGCTAGACCATGTAAAGGTAAAGATTATGCATTTGCTTAGTGCAAATATTTACCTTTCTAGTGATAATATCATGACCTACTTTCATAAAAACAAAACCCAACTGTGCTGTAGGGCTGGGTACGGTCTATCCGGTCACAGAAGGAGGTCCTGTTCCTACACCTGAATGACGGCAGCTGCCTGGCAAACCTGCAGGTGGTGGGCACACCTGACATGGGCAACAGGTGAGGACACCTGCTTAGTACCGACAACATGTCATAAATTAGTATAGGCAATCCGTGTGGCCCAAGTGCTACAGTAATGGAGATGTTCACCACCCCTATGCTCTGTACAGAGTAGAACGGAAACTTTTTTTTTAATACAACCTTTGCAGGGCTGGTGGAAATGCAGTTCTTATAAATGAAGATAGGAGGGGCTGTGACTTTGCCATGTTATACATGTATGATGTACACTGTTCTGGTATTTGTTTCCCCAGTGACCTGTCGTTCGGCAGTGCTGTACTTGTAGAGGGGAGACTCTTCCCAAGTTCCCACCCAGGCCAGGATGTAGAGCTGCATGCAGACAGACTGGAGGTTTTAGGTCCGTGTAATGCAAAGGTAAACATGACTTAACTCATCTAGTAGTAATGCGGTTACAAATGGGATGGAACTCAATTCAGACATGCTAACAGTTACAACCATTGTAGTGCCATTGAACCTAAAAAGATGCAGTTCCAATAAGTATACATAGGTGGAGTCGTGTGACTTTGCCAAAGGATACTGCATTGTATTGCTTGATATGGCACAACCTATGAAAGAGAGATTAGCTACATGTATACTGCTATGTAACAGTCTGTTTCATCTGTGTCTATGGTAGGAATTCCCCTTCAAAGCGAAGAAGAGGCACACCATGGAGTACACCAGACAGTTCCCCCATCTCAGGGCCAGGACCAACTCTTTTGCAGCCCTGCTCAGAATACGGAGCCAAGCAACCAGTGCAATCCACAAGTTTTTCCAGGTAAGTGCAGGTCATGCCTGATCTTTACAGTGTTTCATATTACATTAATAATACTGACTGAAATACAGCAGTTCCTGAAAATAGTCAAACACTATAGACATTATTCAATGAATATTTGATAGACGTTTGAACAAAAAATACACTCTTCTGATTGTTTTCTGCTGCCATTTATATTTACAGTGATCATGGTCATAAATAATGTTCTTTTGTATAGCAAACAATACATAATTATCATGATTACGCTTTATGGCCAATTTCATAACAAAAATGTACACCTGGTATTTCATGATTATTGTATTTTTTTTTCTCTCAGGATCAGGGGTACATTGAAGTCCATACTCCTGTCATCAGTTCCAATGATTGTGAAGGTGCTGGGGAACTGTTCCAGGTTGAGGTAGGGACTGTATCCCTGTTTTTAATAATAGCCACATCAGGAAATGTGCTTGTGGCTGGATATAAGAGTTAGCGTTTACCTCAGAAACTTTTCATCTTCTGAACACAAAGTTAACCCCATTTCCTGTGTCATGGCATTTTGACCACCTGTCATTCTGCCTGTCAATCCGCTGGTGCTCCACCCACGTGCTGTCAACCTACTCTCAAGTCCACCCCATTTCCTGTATCTGTTTGACCAGAAGAAACAAGCTGTTCTATGGGGCACAACCTATGTACGTCATCAAATTGGTGAGGCGAGCATACTAGCAAGCAAGCAGTTGAGGGCCACATGCTTGCCTTGCCATTTTAACGACATACATGAACATTTTGTACATGTACATTGTGTAGAGTGTAGCCTACCAAACAGCTTAAAGACTAACAGGCAGACTGACAGGAGACCAAAAGGTCAGACACAGGAAATGGGGTGAACATGCTGTGTCACGAAATTTAGAAATACTTTAGGCCGGCAGGGAAGTGTTGTTATGTTTTGACTGCTGCATGAGTTTAATGGTACTGTATCTTACATTTTGTGTCCACCCAAAGCCAGCCAGCAGCACAGTACTGAGGGAGCTATCAGAGGCAAGTGGCAAGGAGACCAAACATTTCTTTGATGTCCCAGCATTCCTCACTGTATCAGGACAGCTGCAGCTGGAGGTTATGGCCAGGTATCTGTCATATAGCTAAAATTATAAGAACATACTGCACCTGCACAAATCCCAGATTTTTCACGGTTTTCGTTGCATGTGTGGTCAATGTTGCATCAGAATTTTGCCCGTCGCAGACAATATCTTTTTTGACACAAGTTAAAAACGATAGACAGGATGCCATTTTTAAATACACAAATGGTAAATGAGACGTTCTACTGAAGTGCTATGCACAATAAATTACATACGGCATAGGTGCAGTATGTTCTGTTGACATGCTAGGACATGCTACGATATAAAATGTATTGTATTTTGATGTTACATGTATATAGTGATACATATAGTGGTCTTGAACCAGTTTACCTCACTGAAAAGCTAAGCTTCAACTGTAAAAAAGGAAACAGCCAGGCACTTGCTTCTTTGTTGTTTCTTCTTTCCTGTGACTGAGTGATGTTGTTCTGGTTCTCCCAGTGCCCTGTCCAGGGTGTACGTGTTCGGTCCCACGTTTCGAGCTGAGAAGTCTCTGGGAAGGAGACACCTGTCTGAGTTCTACATGGTGGAGGCAGAGTTAGCCTTCACACAGCAACAGGAGGATGTCATGGAGGTGGCTGATTTTTTGTTGCTGTTGTTTCACATAATCGGTAAACTACCATTAGGCACAGCAAGCCTAGCCTGGGTACCATCCGGATTTTCACTCTGCAACGCTTGAAAAAATCACATGATTTTTGAGCGTTGTGGAGCGAAATCCGGATGGTACCCAGGCTACTGTAAGGTTTGAACCACTCACACTGCAAAGGGCGGTAGGATCTTAGATGTGCTTGAGGTGTGACTGTCCTCAAACAGAGACCTCTGGCTTTATGTCCATTCTGAGAAGATATCTAATCCCTAACTGAAGCTAGGTACACCTGAGACAAGAAGGAAATAGGTGTAAAGTGCACAACACTGAGGCCTGCCAGGGATTCAAACCAGAATCTTAAGAATGATTCTAAGTCAAAAGTCTTAACCACAAGACAACCTTGCTAGAGTGACAGCCAGTGTTTGTGACCAGGTGATAGAGAGGATGGTGAAACAGCCCACCGAGCAGATCCTAGCCTCCTGTCCTGAAGACCTGCATCTGTTCTACAAGTTTGTCTCTCCAGGACACAGGGTGAGTTCCAACAGTAGTTACTCTTGATGTTAACAATAAGGGGTGATACATTTTTCATTGTCATGGCTCAAAATATTACTTTTTTCCTGTATAACTTCACTGGTGCAGGTTATGTTAAAAATTACCTGCACCAGACAAATTTTACCTGCGGCACTCAGAATTTAGGAGGCATATATATAGGTCATACTAAAAACTCTTCAAAAACCATTGCCATTATTTCATCATACACACATTCACACACACACACACACACACACACACATAATGTCACATAATGTCATATATATATATAAACCCTATCAGACATCAGAAATACCTGCACAGCCCCAATTTTACCTGTGCTAACCTGCATATGCAGATGGTATTTTCAGCCCTGCATTGCCCATCTGTTGATGATAGTATGATTTCATTTTGTTATGGATGGCACCCATGAAACGCCCTTCACATTGCCCTGGATGTAATTTTGCTATGTGGCACAATTGTTGGATGTGTGTGTAGATATGGATCTAAGGTACCTGTGGGTATTGTGAGGTGGGCTACACAGATAAACCAGAATCCGTCAATCATTACATGTACCTCTCCTGGAAGTAACACAATATTGGACCTGGGGCAGGAAAGTTGTCACCAAGGGAGAGCCTTAAATTCTCAACCCTGTCAAGTGCTTTGATCAATGTTGGATAGTACATATTTGGTAGTCCCTTTTAGCTAAATAGGCCTGATTTCCAAGGGAGCCCATGTCAGGTAAACAGAATACAAATTTACTTCAAGAGGAGGTCATAAGAAATAATACAGTATGAAATAGAATGGCATTAGACTCTCTAAATGTTGTGTTGTTGTTTGATGATGATATTTTTTCCCTATATTGTTTCCTACTGTTAGGAGATTGTGGAGAAAATACTGACATCAAGATTTATCAGGTAACAAAGCATTTCTGTCTTGGGTACAGCTATACACACTATCACTGTCCAATGTTGTTATAACCTCTTGCTTCCAGTTACTTGATACATGTAACATAAACTGTTTTTTTTTCCTTATATTTCTTTATGTTCATGAGTTCTGTCCTTCTATAACTGTAACATATTACTAACTGCATTCACCATTGCACCTTAATACACAGTACATCATGAAGTGCTTTTGTTTTCATATTGATTTGGGCCCTTATGCATGATATCTTTCCTAGATACATTGGTGAAGGTGTTGATTTCTTTCCTTCTTTGTAAAAATATATCTTCTTCTTTCCTTCAATGCAGGATGACCTACACAGAAGCGATTGAAACTTTAAGGAATCATTCAGAAAACTTTCAGTTCAAGCCTGAGGTAGGTATGGTTACAGTTATTGAATGTATGAATGAAGGAACGCACAAACGAATGAATGACTGAATGAATGAACACATTTATTGTACATTATTACATACTAGTACCCACTGGGTTAAGGAAAGGTTACAACAAAAGAATAGCTTGTACATACACACAATCAGCACCAGCACTTTAGTCTATGAAGTAATTTCAAAAAGGTAACAGACATGTTTTAGAATCAGAGGTATGTCTAAGATATTAAAAAAAACATTAGAAATGTGTCTGACTGTACTAGTATTAATAGGTGTGTGAAGTAGGAAAATATTGGCGTTATCAGTCCATAAGTTCAACTCTCTCATTATTGTTGTACAATCTACAAATGATGTTTATCTTCTACCTATCTAAATTACAGTACTGACAGATCCATTGTTCCAGGGGAGTGCAGTTATATCAATTCTACACAGTAATTCGACTCCATTCATCAAATTAAAGTGTTTGTAACATCAACATGTGCCTCCACTGGGAGTCAATGATGAAATAAAACTTACTATCAGCATCACCTTTTGACCCCTTAAATCCCTCATTTATTGCAGGATGATGTCTTTGATGATATCTATAAGACAGTAATTTAATTGTGAATCCCAGTAAGTCCTACAGTGATTGAAACGATGCTCTGCTGTGACCTAGCTTAATCCAATATCCCAAACCCTATTAAAAGATATGCAAGGCATGCAATCTGCTTAGGGGGGATGGTCACAAATTCAGAATAGATTTTGTTTAGACTGTTGAAGTTACATCAATATTTTAAGCAATCTTTCTCAGCAAGGGTGCAGGTAAGAAATGCTTCCATCACCATGGTAACTGGTGCTGTAGCAGACACCCTGTGGTGTTGGGTTATGTAGCAAGTTGGAGGAGCTAGATACTATATATAAGTTATATATATGAATGCATTTGAGTGAGAAAGAATATATAGAGCATGTGCATATATAATGTAGTTTGTTAGGCTAGACCGTGTGAAGTTAAACATTATGCCTTTGTTTTGCAATTATTGCCTTTCTAGGGGTACGCCAAAAAACAGTTACTCAAGCAACTGGATATGATTTTGAAAACGTCAGACGTTTCAGCTAGTATCCACTAGCTTTCGTCAGTGACTGAGAGACCAGAGGGGAAAGCAGGTTTATAAGTACAACCTGTTGATTGATATGCAAATAAAGTGAAGACAAATTTTTGGAAGTCGAAAAGGAAACAAAAGTCAG